TAGTGAAGAAACTCTGATGAGATTAGAGATTGCAAAACTTCAGTGAGAAGTTGAAATGATGAGAGCTAGCAGAGAGACACTCACTATCAATGCTAGTGACAATGAAATGAGTAAAGATCTTATGAACTATTTACAGAGAAAAGGCAGAACTACTACCATAATAAAGATCTTGACAGAATTTAGAGATTAAATGAAGCACATCAAGAAATCTATTATTCTGACTGATTCTGTGAACTATTCAATGTGAACAGAAGAGATTATACTAATTGCTAAGCAATCTGAAACTGATGATATTCTCAATAAGAAGCAATCTGCCTCAGAGAATGATGCCAGTATGGATATGCAATATTTTTGAATTGAAAGAAATATATAACTCTATAATCATATATTGTTTTCAATCTCTCTGCAAGCAAGATCTCATTTTATGATACTCTCAGATTATCAGTTGTCAGCATATATTCTATAAATAATCATAGAAGAGAACTTCTCAGAGAGATCTGTAGTCTACTAAATCTGTCTTTTTGAGAAACTGATTAGCTTGACAGCTAAGACAAAAGACTTAGATAAAGCTTTCATAGAATATCTAATCATCATTCAAACTGAATATATTCATTTAAAATATAAAATTAAAAATTTTATTCTTTTCAACTGCTTGTTAACTGATGTCAGCACTGAATAAGCATCATTTATCAGAGATAGAATGAACCACACTGAAAAAATGCCAACACTCACAATATTGAGACAGATTTCATGAGACTGTGTTGAAATATTCTATTGCATCTATTAGCCACTGGACAGAATATTATCTTAATAAATACAAGAAATCTTGCAAATAATATTCAAGATTTATAAAAAAAGAATAAGAGTAAGAATAAAATTTGATAGCTAAAGATAAAGACAAAGATAAGAAGTTCAAGCAGAATAGTAATAATATGAAAAAGATATGCTATCATTGTCAGAAGACAGAGCATCTCAAGACTGACTATTGAACAAAATATTCAGAAAAATATTTTGCAGATTATAAAGAAAAGAATAATCATATGAACAAGAATAAGAATAAAGATAATACTGCTTCAGTTCATAATATTGTGAAGTAAGTATTCTCTGTAAAAAAGATGATTTATTTCAGTAATAAAGTGATGAGGAATATCTGAGTTCTAGACTCTGAATCAAAAGCTCATATTATATCACAGAAGAATATTGTTGAGGTTATGCTTCAGAGAATGAATATCATGTTGAAGATGGCAGATGACTCTACAGCACCAGTAGCAGATGTAGAGAAAGTGTGCATTTCAACTAAGAAATCAAGTATTGAACTGGATGATATCTGTTATGTTCTTAAGCTGAAGATCAATCTAATGAACCTTGGAAAACTTATATATAAAGATTATACTATACTCTCTTTTGAACCTGCATATGTCTTGCAATCAGATGATGATTCTCTAATAAAGCTGCTCAAGGGTGACATGAAGACTTTGAAATACACAATGACACAGTGGCATCAAAAGCTGAGTCAACTAAATCCAGTAAATATAACAAGAATGACTGCAGATTCTAGACGGAAATATGAATAAGAGATTAAAAAACTTTGCTATTCTGCAAGACATGTGTGCAAGCAAAAATTGTCTGTCTGTTCTTTGCTTCAATGAGCAGAGCTGCCAAAGCCAGCTTATAATGAATTTGTGGAGAAAATAGAATTGACAGAGATCTGATCTCATTGAAGAGAATGATTGATTTTACACAGTTTTGCAACCTCTAAGAAGATATAATAAGACAAATTCGAGAAATAATTGTATGTTTTCTTTGCAAAGTTACAGTACAAAGACATAATAGAGCATTTTTTAATAGAGAAACTAGCATCTGATTTCTGTATTTAATTTTTATTGCGGATTTAAGAGCATTCAGCAGCTGGGAAATAGAGCAGAGCTCAGGCTTACCATGGCATGGAGGGGTGTTAGAGGATTCCCCGGCTACCCGAGGTCACGTGCACTTATGTATTTATTAATGTTGCCGTTGCGCAACTCATACCTTCTGTGGGTGTGTCATATCAAAATAATAAAAACACTAAAATGATAAAAATCTTGCAATTTTATCATCTTCATCATCTTCATCAATTAATAACTCACCACAATGTCAAATAAGGATAAAAATATTGAAGATCATATTTAAAAAGCTTTCACTTATCATCAAAAAAACTCAAATTTCAAAATACTATCTCTGTCATGAGAATTTGAGATTTTTTATCAAAGTCTCTAAGTATATATCAATAGAAGAAATTTGAATATTGCAAAGATTCCAGTTAACGAATGATTAAATGAGAGTCAGAAGAATGCAATTAAATGATGAGTCAAGCTGCTTAATGAAAAGAATTATTTTCCCACAGCTGAATATATTGAAGATTTTACAAATTCAATACTCAGACATTAGTACATAGATTCTACTACCTCTCCTTTAAAAGTCAGCAAGATGTGAACTTATAGATTCATTGAACATTTATCTGAGTATAAGAAAGTGAAACAGAAGTCAATGATTTTAAAGAGAGTGACAGTTGAAGGTATTAAATATATCAATATATGATTTAAACATCTTCAGATTCTATTTGAGCAGTATTAATTTCACACCTGTGACACATACAACTTTGATGAAATTGAATTTCAAAAAGAACAAGAATGTGAATAATGAGTTATAACTGCTTTTAAAGAAGTTAATTTTATTATTTTTTTATTCTTTTTAAGAGATTTGATTACAGTCATTAAATATATATTCATGAATAATTATATTATTCTGCTATTGATAATCTTATCCTTCAAAACACACTTGAAGAATTGATATACACAAAAAGATTTACTCAGCAATTATAGAATTACTATATCAGATACTGAATTTACAAATAATGAAATTAAATTTAAATGACTTAAACATTTTAATACTGCTACAGAAAAGAGATAGAAGGAAAGTCATTGATTACTTTTAATGAATAATCATAAATCTCATATCATTGAGAAGTTCATACAATATACAGATCTTCATAAGATAATTCTATATAAATTTTTATTGTATATCACTCATTTGCTACAATCTATGAATAGTCTATCATTTTATCAATATAAGCATTATCATTCAAAAGCAGTCAACTATGCTGCATGTTATGATTTTGTTAAGTATGAAAAACAGCAGTTTCTACAAAACCTCTCAGCTATGTAAAAGCAGATCTTTAAATCTGATATAATAGCTATAAAATAAGCTTAATATGATATATATTTCTAAAATTCTGACTGAGTTCTTGACACTCTTAAGCAGTAAATCTCATCACCTCCTTTATTGCAGATTTATAAAGATGAGAATGATTCAGATTATATATTTATCTCTTTCTCTTAGCTATTCTCATCAAAGACAATTCAAAAGCTGAAATATTATATTAATATTATAGAAAATACCATACAAAGTATTAAAGATACTCATGATTTGAAATCACTCACTTTGACACATTGTTTGAACATGATATTCAAAGCAAGTCTAATTCACATAGAATTTAATGAGCAACAGATCATTAAATTAGAGAACTTTCTCAACATCAGTGAGCACTGCAGAGCTAAAACAACTTATCATCAGATTCAAGTAGAAGAAGTCCTCATTATTAAAGATGTCAATAGAAAAATCAAGCAGTATAAGGATAATGAAGCTGAAAAAGAGCAGAATAAGAAGTGATAGAGATTTGAAATTGATCTCATGAGAATTGACAATAACTCACTCATATCACTGACAGAAGAGGAATTAAATCAATTTAGAGATAGCACACATACTGAGAATGATGTAGATAATCTTTTTATTATAGATTAGCTACTGGTTGTTGATATAAAGTGCAATAATAAGGATGTGATTCAAGATTTTTATCATTTTAGTGTTTTTATCATTTTGGTGTGGCGCACCCACACGAGGTGTGGGTTGCAGCGGCACGATTAGTAGCTAGCTAGCTTGCTTAGAGTTACACAATACAACAAGGTCGATAACGGTCCTCTAAGAAATTGAAGCTTTTATCTTGTTTTTATTATCTTGATTCTAGTTTGAGCTATGACACTAGTTACAAAAGTATGTTAAATAATAACAATATGAATAGCTTGAGCTGTTAACAAAAAGCTAACTTAACATTTTCTGCTTCTGCACTTCTGAGCTAACATTGCTTGAATTGTATTATTCTGCTGTTACAGATGTCAAGACTGAATAAACAATTGAACAGAGCATAATTAATCATTATCTAGCTCATTTAGTTAGTTAACAATAATCACTACATCAGGATCAAAGCATCTCCCTGCGAGAAGAACATCTGAGCATACCGGCCAAGAGACCCATGGACTGACTATGTATGTTCTAATTAGGCGCTCTTCAGAATTGCTGGCTGAAGCTCCTCTGGCAGCTGCTTCAATGCTTGGTGAGGTGAAAAAAAGCAGATACTCGGCTAGGACGACAGCGGCATCTTCAGAACCGGAGTAGTAGATAAATTAATTCGGTTTTCGTAGTTCCAAAATGACTTTGGATGCCGCGAGTTATGTTTTCTTCTCAATACGCCAAAAAGTGTAAACATTGCTTCCGGGTCACTTGATCCCAAATGGCGAGTTCCATGGCTCGTGAAGGGAGATTGTTCGCAGGAAGTATGTAATATGATTTGAACCTTGAAGAGCTTCGAAGAGGCTTTGAAGAGCCCCAAGCGAGCGACCCATGCAATTTTTTGCAATGTACGGAGTAATTGCATACATACGAGGAGAATGGGCCGATTTATTAATGGCAGTTAACTTTAATTTCCAACCACTACATATGGAGTTAGCTGGGTTACAACCCGGGATAGTCAACTATTATTGGGTGTCACCACCTGCAAGGCCCCAACTCTCTGGAACAACCTTGGAAATATCCACTCTGGTCGCTCTGGTGATGATCTACTGGTCCCAATCTCTGCAAGACTTCCAAGCAAACACCACACCCTCTTCCGCCCGAAGAGACGGCCCATGAATGTGGCGCTTCGTTGGGCTGGTGTCAAAGCGCCAATTGGTAACCTGGGGAAACCTCGTCTTTTCTCGAAATGCCAGATGTTGTCGACTAGCTCAACCTCGGAAAACCTTCACGATGAGACTACGGGGTTAGAGTAGGGCGAGACTCCGTCAAGGATTCAAGGACCGTTGAAAAAATAGTGTTTAATGAAGGCTTTTCCCGTTCCCTCCTCGAGTCAGGGGGAATTTCTAGCCACACAACCAAGACGGCAAACTGTCTCCACCGCCATTGCTCCTTTATATTGGGAATGGTGTGGTAATTGGCTTTCCCAGCTGTTAATACCCGGAGATCAGAAGTTTCCTGAAGGGGACTTTGGACATGACACTTCACTCTCTCTGACAAAGTCATAACTGATATTGCGAATACGCAGACAGAGATCTATAGTTATGGGCAGCGCGGAGTGGAAAATAAATCCACATGCCTATCAGCCAAAGAGCGAGGAGTGGATTGAGCAAGAACTGAAAACTGGGGGAGAGTTCTTTCAGAATAACTCGCCAGGCGACAGAGCAGACATTACAGAGAACAGGATGGACATAGGCGGGCCAGTTCGGAGGTCGCTGTCAAAATTTTTGACTCGCCAATACGCCAAAAAAGACACCAAAAATGCCACATCATTTACTTACCAAAATCTTTAGGCTTCAGCTCACCATTTCTAGTTCAACCATCTAGTTAAAATTTAGGCGCATCAAGAACTAAAATCTTAGTTAGGGTTTAGACCTAGTTAAGAGGCCCCAATTTGCACTGCATGCCTATCATTCTAGGCATAACTAGACATGATACCGTTTCAATTTGGATTTTAGTGTTATTGCTTCCATGTGAGTAAAACTTTTTGACAGTGACCCCCTCTCTACAGTTGTACCAGTGGGAACTCAGAACTACCTGGATTCTGCTCAACCTGCAAACTTGTTACTATTTTGCAGTGTCTTTCGTTCTCCCGACTTTTGGAATTGTTGGCGAATAACATGATCTCAATCACAATCAGCCAAATGTTGCCCACTCAAGAACTCATACGGTCTTCAAACCACTTTCGACCCAATGCCCCCGGGGCTCAGACCCCGGCGGCTTTTCCGTTCGGGATCTGGGGCACGCTTAGTCTTCCTGGCTCCATCCCAAGTCCGTATTCGACGCGTTCATGGGCTGATCGCCGATCAATCATTCCCAGTGGTGGGCTGCTGTGGCGTGCCCAAGTAGCGGACCTCCTTGTCTCAAGCGAGAGCATCTTTTGGCGCCTTCATCTCACCGCTGTATTTTGGCCAATAGATAGCCTGTTGCAGCAGAGTTTAGCCGGTTAGAAATCAACAGCCGGGCAGAAAGAATCCACTAAAATATCCTTTGGGTGGTTCGTTTCGAGACTGATAGAGTTTCCATGGTTCTTCTAGCGCGCCTACATGGAGAGGTTAATGAGGCCGAACCAGGCTTCAGGGGGGTTGACGCAGCATCCCCCGCAGAATTCCACGAGGTGGGTAAGGATGGCAGAAGTGTGGGTTATATCTCAGACTAGCTCTCCTACCACCCCGGGAGAGTATTTATTTGTCCATGCCTATCTCCTCTTTCTTTAATTGTCTTGATCGATGCAAGCAAGCTTCCTTGGTCTTTTGTCTTGTGTTGGCCGCCAATATGGAGGAAAAAAGTTCCAGCATATTTGCTGTAGCAATATCTTTGCTCGTCGCTTCGTGGCTAATCGTTGCATTTCGCTGCTACGTGCGCGCAAAACTAACCCGATGGGGTCTTGACGACATCTTCGTGATCGCTGTTTTGGTACGTTAGAAAGCATCCCTACATGCACATACCCATGTATGTACAGTACAGTACATTCATAGGTTGAAGGGAGGCATTATCCTGCCTGCTCTTTTGCGTGGCTAATTGTTGATTCATTATTCCACAGTTGATATTCACCGGATGTGCTAGTTGCCTCATGAAGGCTGCGTCCATGGGACTTGGGAAACGTACTAAAAGTATAAAACCACGCGAGGCGATCATAGATTCATTCAAGGTCAGATATGAGAATCAGGCCCGCAGAGCAGCATTTGTATGATGGCATCGTTAACAGCTGGCTCAGTTTTTTTTTATTGCCGATCTTCTATATATCACCTCTTCAGGAATAGTAAAGATCTCCTTCTGTTTATCTTTGTTACGAGTCGTCATCGGACGAGGTTACATCTACACGATATACGCGGTCGGTACAGTTACGGCCATTTTCACAACTTTCTACTTCTTCTTCGCCCTTTTCTCGTGCTGGCCGGTGGAATTTGTATGGGAACAGATACGAAACCCGAATAGCGGCGGGACGTGCCGGCAATATCATAAGGTCGTTGCCGGAAGCTATGCTCACGGCTCAATCGTTTGTGTGGGTGACTTGATACTCGCAATAGTCCCTGCATTGATGATACGGAAATTACAATTAAATTCGCGTACTAAGTTATCTGCTGGCCTTCTACTTGGGTTTGGATCGGTGTAAGCTTCCGCTTCCTCTCCTCCCCCTCTCCGCCATGCAATACCACCAGATGTGCAATTACTCTAACCTTTCACAGAGCGAGCGTTGCAACCATAGCCCGGCTTACATACGTCAAATATGGATACGATCAGAAAGATTTCCTCTACACCAACACCGAGATAATGATATGGTCCATGGTGGAGATAGGGGTAAGCATCATAGCTATATCGGCTGTGACGCTGAAGCCCCTTTTGATGAAATACAAAATCTTCTTCCACTCTCAAGACAGCAATGCACTCTCGCCACATGACCGAGGACGCATCTACAGGAACGGCGGCGGGGATTTCACGTACACAATTGGCTCAGGACCACCACGAAAAAGCCATTATAGTCGACAACATAGATCCTCCGCGCATGGCAAGATAAGCGCCTCTAGACTGAGACCTGATAACACAGTTGCCAAGGGACGGTCATCATCGGAGGAAAATATCTGGATATCGAAAGGAGATGGGCAGACGATACCCAGTAGAGACGGAGTCGACGACGATTTGGAACTCATTCCGAGAGGACAAATACAAAAAGTTGTTGAGTTTTCGACGTCAAGGGTCGCGGCGGAACTGGACAAACATTCCACACCGGCTCCTGAGCATAGGTATGAGCAGGCGTAGTGTATGTACATAAATTTCTTATATACTATGGGTTCCATGTGCACGTATATGAATGAAACTGGAAATACTATCCCCTCAGAGCTTGACCACCTGGATGATATCGCCCAATACTGAGCTACATCTATTCCCAGCTTTTATCTCACCGTTAAATTATTCTTTTAACTTTGACACTTGCCCGAACATCGGCTAACAGTTGCTGTGTGTCGTATGAAAAGGGTTCTAACTACTCCGTTATAGCTGTCTGTCTACTGATCGTCCTAATGTTTCTATTATCTGTCAACCATTGCTCTTCAACTTTGGTCATCAACTCCTTCACTTGATGAACTTATCAATAATTCCATCCATAATCATTTGTCAACATGGCAGCCAGCGCCCTGTCCTACCTGAGGTCACGTAGTAGTCTGTAGTTAGCTTGTCCGAATACAATCCACAATCTTCCACCTCTATCAGCTGTTATCAGTCTATACAATATTATGACGATGCAACATATTGGGGATGTCAGTGATTTATAAATGCATAAAAACAAGAACAGTTGACATTTTTGTTACTTCATTTATTACAGAACCACCCTCTCCATCTTACCCTCATTTTCGTCCAGCACAAAGACCTGTTGAATAGCGTTCATCTTTAGCGCAACCTGTTTCCGGAACTCAACAAGAAAACACAAATCCCATATCCAGAAAAATAAACGCCTATTTTGTCATGCTTGATTAATGCTCATGCTTCATGCTCCATTTCTTCCGTGCCATTCAAAGTATCACCGCCAAACACCAGGACCAAAATGCTCCGCAAGAAAAGGAAACGAAAACAGAAAAAGTGGGCTGTTGTTCAAACAGGAAGGACAGCCATCAGAGATCTCGCTAAAATAAAATCAAGTTGCAAAGGTAAGCGGACAGAGAGAGGTTTGAAGGTGAGATGGTTGTCAGGGGGTGTTAGAGTGTGTGAAGCAACAAGAGAAAACCAAAGGGGATTAGTCAATGTATCTACAGCACAGCACAAAAAAGACAAACCAAAAACAAGCATGCAATCCAGCAAAGGAGATTTCATCATCCCATATCCTCATCATCGTCCTCAGGATTCTCCAACGATTCCATTGCATCCTTTATAAACTGCGCAGCCTACATTTCGGGATCTTGTTAGCACGTACAGTCAATCAATGAAGCAAACAAAGGACAAACCCCACACCAATTGCACAAAAGCAAAAAATAAAAGATCATACCTTCGGATCTAAATTCAACGCTGTTGTAAAATGCCTAATCGCACTCCCCTTATCATTCAGCATTTTATATAACTTCCCTAACAAATAATGCACATTCGGCTCATCGGGCGCTAAATCTTTCAATATCCCAAGCTCAACCTGCGCTAGCTTAAGCTCATTCAGCTTCATCAAAACCCGAGCTTTGCGCAAGCGGGCAAGCACGGACTGCGGCGCAAGTGTACAGGCCCGTCCGTACTGCAACAGCGCAGCCTTCTGGTTTCCCATCCTCTCCAGCACGAGACCTATACACCACACTAACACGGCGTTGGTCGGATTGATACTGGAGGCGGTACGGTAGTGTTGTTCTGCAAACTTGTATTTGCCCATTTTTTCGTAGACTTTGCCAATGCCGTACCAGGCGTTGTAGTGTCTGCTGTCAGCGCTGATGCCGTACCGGTAGGCATCCAGGGCTTTATCGTATTCTTCGTTGGAGACGTATTCATGTCCCTGCAATGTAAAGGCGTAGGCGAAGCTGTGGTCCAGTTGCGTGGCCCGTTTGAAGCATTTAAGCGCCTGGTCATGATCGGATTGCAAAGAGAAGGAGTTGCCGATGGCGCACCATGCCTGTGGTGATAGGCGGTCGATCTCCATCAGTTCGTGTGCCAGATAAGCCAATTCCACTTCGTTTTTCAAGTGCCACAGAACAGTTGAATAAACCTCCATATCCTCTAATCTCGACGGCGCAATGGTTTTAACACGGATGAAATACTTTTCGGCTTCAACATACATCGCTTGTTCATAATACGCTCGACCTATCTGCGACAAAACCCATGGGGTTTCTCGCTGGCTTTGCGGGAGAGAATTGAATATCTGTATAGCCTCCTGGCATTTATATGTCGTGAGTGCCGAGTAACCTTCTGCAAGTTTCACAAAAAGATCTAAAATCCAATTGAGAGCTTCGACATCCTTTGATTTATCCGTCGCTGCGTGCTTGGAGTGTCCACCAACCGCACCGTTCGTGACAGCGGAAGCAGGAACCCCTCGACTCTCTTTGCCGTCAATGTCCATCCCATCAGGGGCAGCTTTGCGATTACCGCTCACGACCCGTCCCATAGTTGAACAAGAAGGGTTACGCCCTTTTGCGCCTGTCGCCTTCACCTTTTTAATCTCTCGACCTTCCCGAACCCCAAACGTCCCCGAGGCTGAAAATTTGCTAGTCGTGGGGCGAATCTGGTTAAAGAGCCGTACACTACGTCGTTGTGGAGCTCCTGGCTCGGAAGTCTGTGTGGCTGTTTGGTGGGCAACTTGACCGGATACTGTTCTTTTCCGCTCACCTCCTCCAAATGCTGGCGGGGCTGTTTCTCTTGAGACTGCGATATGATATGCATCTTCCGGATCTACCCTGGGTTTATTTCTGGATTTCGTTGATGTAGTCTTCATTTTTGGGGTTGGATCTACCCCATAATCCAAACCCAGCGTCTGAATATTTCTATTCTTCCTCCCAGGTGCAAAAGGGGGTTCCCATGATGGGTCACCAGAAGTTGCACCACCGCTGCCACCTGCACGAAAGTCGTCCGAATCGCTTTGGGCGACAGGAGTTTCCAAACCTTCCGGTGCGGGAGCACCGATAGAAACACTGACATTACTGCCATTTAGCTTTTCCCAGAGTGCGGAGGAACCATTTGCAGCATCAACGCGAGCACTGAACGATGTAAATGGATCTACGTTATGGTTTATGTTTGGTTGTACCTGCAGGGGTCCATTTGTCTGTGCAGCCTTCTCGAGTGTCGGAGGATTTTCTGTGATTGGCGACGAAGGGAGCATTGCTAACATTTCTGGGGACATCTTATATATGTTGGGAACCCGGATATTGGCACCTTTCGATTGAAAAAAGTGTCAGTACTAGAAAAATTAAAAACAAACTGCTTCCGCTATTTTTTGCTTTTACCTGTTTGGCAAAGACCTAGAAATGCATCCCAAAGGAAAGGGTTTAATTTCAAAGCTTCAACATAGCAATCCACTGCTTTATGTAGATCTTGATGTGCATGCCATAATTTTCCCTGTAAGCAAAGACATGCAGCGGCATCTGGCAGGTGTTGTCTTCGTGTTTCGCTATGCTTATCTGCAATCCAAGAGGCTGTCAGTTATACGGAGCGGCAGTTTATTTATTTTTTAGGTTTATATATATATATATATATATTTCCTTATTTGTTTATTTATTTTGTTTTGTAGATCCATGTATGTGCAAAATCCAATGCCCAACACCGAAGCACACGGATAGAGAGCAAGCAAAAAGAGCCACTTACTCCAATTATTCTTGTTAGCCCAAAGGCTTTTACTCCTGTCCAAGGCAGTGATCCCTTCAATGTACTTCCCCAGATCTAAACAAGCTTGCGCATGGACATATGAGCAGCCAGCATGCGTTCCCCTGGAACCCGAATTCCTGCTATATTCCCACGCAGCCTTGGACTGGCCACTCTGGAGATGACAGAGGGCAAGGAGGTAGGAAGCTTCCGATGATCGTGGCTCGAAGGCGTGGAGGCGGCCGGCAAGGAAGAGGGCATTGCGGATGAGGTTGTTATCGAGATGGTAGTATATCAGTTGCCGCAGCTGGCTGGATATGTGAGGGGCCGAGGGTGCCATGGTAAGACGAGGGACGACTCTCTGTGATGTAATAGAGAGGAGAGGAGACGAGGTTGGTGGGTAGGAGTGTGTGGTATCTCAGTTGCAATTCATGCAGAGAGGGAAGAGAAGGAATGTGTTTAGAACTGTTGCTGTTGCTGTTGCTGTTGCTGTTGCTGTTGTTTGCTGTTGTTGTTGTTGTTGCTGCTGCTGTTGTTGTTGTTGTTGTTGTTGTTGTTGGAGGAGGAGGTTGGGGGAGGAGTGAATTTGAATGTCGAATCAGGAAACTGAGAGCCGCGTGAAGTGGTGGAGGACCAGGGAGAGATACACCGCACGCTGCAGCTAAAGGGACCTCTTAGCTATACGTATAGAGGCAGACAGTGCATCTTCTTCCACCGCAATTAAGACAAGACTATGAGGTGGGGCCTTTTTTGAGGGGACTGAGAAGCAGCGGGATGAGTGAGGGATTCCTGTGTTGTGGTTTTACCTGGTTGCATCGAAGCCAAGAAGATGGGACAACCGTGGACAGGACAACCAGCAAGCGACCGGTGGTTCTACGCGGGCATGTTGCTGGAGCAGGCACAGGATATTGCAGTTTTGTGATCGGGTCCTTTGAGGTGAAGACTGTGTCGTCTAGATATAAGCAGAGGAGTGGTATAGTACCAGGTGTTAGATGGATTGATAACGATACAGATCAAGGTCGGCAGTTATTGGATTGCGAGTTGGATGTTTTGACGGGCTGGATCACGGGGTCTGGTCACTGTATCAACAAGGCGGTGGGCGGCGGGATCGAAGATTCTGCCGCCGCTGCCGACTGAACAACCCTGTTTTGTGTTGTGGTTGCCATGTATGGCCGTGGTACTTGTGGTTTGGCGCAAGAACTGCTGGGCGGTAAGGTACCTGAGCATTTTCATAAAATTGATGATATACGGAATGGATGGGAATCCACTTCATCTGCGGAATTTCATTAAATTATAACTACATACTTACTATCATTTACCCTGAATACTACCTGGCAACTGTGAAAAATATCTCAAGCTTAATGCCAGGGGGGCTCTGCTATGGAACCCATATTACAACAACATATTATCAAACCTGCTTAAAATAAG